AAAAAACAGGCTGGGTAGTGGTGGCTCCCAAGCTGTAACCTAAGCGATCAGCACTTTCGCACGAGCCGAGACGGCAGATCACGAGGCAGGAGATCAGAGACCATCCTGGCTAACATGGTGAAACCCCGTCCCTCTACTAAAAAATACAAAAAAATTAGCTGGTGTGGTGGCAGGTGCCTGTAGTCCTTAGCTACTCGGGAGACTACACACACACACACACACACAACGAGGCAGCCACCCAGCAGATATTCATTGTATGGGTGTACCATATTTATTTAACCAATCACTTTTGACAGGCACTGGGATTTTTTCCAATGTGTATGTGGTTTTATTTCTACTTCTTCCTTTTTTTTTTTCCATTATGAACAGTGCTTTGGGCACTGTCCATGCAAATCTTTCTTGGGAACTTGCTTGGTCAAAGGATGTGAACCACTGACATTTATTGATTGATCGATTGATTGATTGAGCCGGAATCTCACTCTGTTGCCCAGGCTGGAGTGCAATGGCACGATTGGTTCTGGCTGTATTGCTGCGAATCTCCAGACTCCACAGTCACAAAGCACAAAACATCTCAGTTCGCCTCACAGCCTCTGAGTAAGCAGGGATGGCTTACAACGGCATCTGCCAACCATAATCTGGCTAATTTTTGTATTTTTGTAGAGTGAAGCTTTTCACCACGTTGGCCAGGCTGGTCTCGAACTCCTGGACTCAGGTGATCTGCCCACCTTAATCTCCCAAAGTGCTGGGATTATAGGCATGAGCCATTGCACCAGTGACCTTTTTTTTTTTTTTTTTATGATTTATGTTGTTTGATGGACGAATCTGGATTCAAGCTGTTTTAGATTTTCTCCACCATGGCTGAGGGCAGTGACGCGATCTTGGCTCACTGCGACCTCTGGCTCTCAGATTCAAGCAAGTCTCCTGTCTCAGCCTCCTGAGTAGCTGGGACTACGGTTGTGCGCCACCATGCCCAGATAATTTTTAAATTTTTAGTAGAGACAGGGTTTCACCATGTTGGCCGGGATGGTCTTGATCTCTTGACCTCGTGATCGGCCTGCCTCTGCCTCCCAAAATGCTGGGATTACAGGTGTGAGCCACCGTGCCTGGCCACTTTTAAATTTTTTAATAGACTAATTTTTAGAGTAATTTTCGGTTCACAGCAAAATTTAGCAGAAAGTACAGAGAGTTCCTGTATATCACCCTGCTCCATACACACACACCCTGCACAGCCTCCCTCACTGTTAACATCGTGTACCCAAGTAGGGCATTTGTTAGAATCAGTGAACCTTCATTATCCCTTTAAAACCATAGTTCACATTAGGATTCACTTTTTTCATTTGTTTGTTTTGCACTGGTTATCTCGCCCTGTCTCCCAGACTGGAGTGCAGTGGTGTGATCTCCGCTCACTGCAACCTCTGCCTCCTGGGCTCAAGCGATCCTCCCACCTCAGCCCCCCGAGTAACCAAGACCACAGGTGTCCACTACCACACCTGGCTAATTTTTGTATTTTTTGTAGAGACAGGATTTTGCTATGTTGTCGAAGCTGGTCTTAAACTCCCAGGCTCAAACCTTGGCTTCCCAAAGTTTTGGGATTACAAGTGTGAGCCATCGCACCTGGCCTTTGTGTGTGTGTGTGTGTGTGTGGCGGGGAGGGGATAGGATCGTGCTTTGTCACCCAGACTGCAGTGCAGTGTCGTGTGGTCATGGCTCACTGCAGCCTCAACCTCCCAGGCTCAATTGATCCTCCCACCTCAGCTTCCTGAGTAGCTAGTATTGCAGGTGTGTGCATCACGCCTGACTAATTTTTGTATTTTTGTGGTGGAGACGGAGTTTTGCCATGTTGCCCAGGCTGGGAGCTGACTCTTATTGTTGGACATTTATACGTTTTGATGAATGTATAATGACATGTATTCACTATTTTTTTGTTTTGTTTTGTTTTTTTGAGACAGAGTCTCACTCTATGCCAGGCTGGAGTGCAGTGGTGCGATCTCGGCTCACTGCAACTTCCGCCTCCTGGGTTCAAGTGATTCTCCTGCCTCAGCCTCCCAAGTAGCTGAGACTACCGACATGTGCCATCACGCCCAGCTAATTTTTGCATTCTTAGTAGAGATGGGGTTTCACCGTGCTGGCCAGGATGGTCTTGATCTCTTGACCTCGTGATCTGCCCACCTTGGCCCTCCCAAGTGCTGGGATAACAGGCGTGAGCCACTGCGCCCGGCCATATTCACCATTATAATATCAGACAGAGTAGTTTCATGGCCCTAAAAATCCTCTGTGCTCTCTCTATTCATGCCATTCTCCTTTTCCCCAACCCCTGTTCACTGCTGATCTTTTTACTGTCTCCATAGTTTAGCCTTTTCCAGAATGTCCTATAGTTGGAGTCATTCAGTATGTAGCATCTTCAGGTTGGTTTATTTCATTTAGTGATATGCAGTTAAAGTTATTTTTGTGACTTAAGGGCTTTTTTTCTGAGGCAGAGTCTCACTCTTTCACCCAGGCTAGAGTGAAGTGGCCTGATCTCAGCTTACTGCAGCCTTCGCACCCCTCCCCGCCGGGTTCAAGCGATTCTCTTGCCTCAACCTCCTGAGTAGCTGGAATTACAGGCACCCGCCTCCACGCCCGGCTAATTTTGTATTTTTAGTAGAGATGGAATTTCTCCATATTGGTCAGGCTGGTCTCGAATTCTCGACCTCAGGTGATCTACCCACCTTGGCCTCCCAAAGTGCTGGGATTATAGGCTTGAGCCAGGGTGCCCAGCATTTTTTTTTTTTTCTTTTTGAGACAGGATCACACTCTGTTGGATTGCAGTGGCATGAGCACAGCTCACTGCAGTGTCAACCTCTAGGGCTCAAATGATTCTCCTACCTCAGCCCCCTAAGTAACTGGGACCATAGACCTGGGCCACCACATCTGGCTGATTCTAAAATATTTTTTAGAAACAAGGTCTTGCTATGTTGCCTAGGCTGACCTCGAACTCCTGGGCTCAAGTTATCCCCCGGCCTTGACTTCCCAAAGTGCTCGGATTACAGGCATGAGCTACCTTTCCCAGCTTAGTTTCTTTTTAGCACTGAATAATATCTCATTATCTGGAAGCACCACTGATTATTTATTCATTCACCTATTGAGTGACATCTTTTTTGCTTGCATGTTTTGGCAATTATGTGACTGATTTACATTAAAACAATTTTTTTTGAGACAGGGTCTCACTCTGTCACCCAGGCTGGAGTGCAGTGGCGCGATTTCGGCTCACTGCAGCCCATATCTCCCAGGCTCAAGCGATTCTCCTGCCTCATCCTCCCAAGTAGCTGGGACTACAGGCCCATGCCACCACGCCGAGCTAATTTTTTTTTTTTTTTTGAGACGGAGTCTCGCTGTGTCGCCCAGGCTGGGGTGCAGTGGCCGGATCTGGGCTCACTGCAAGCTCCGCCTCCCGGGTTCACGCCATTCTCCTGCCTCAGCCTCCGAGTAGCTGGGACTACAGGCGCCCGCCACCACGCCCGGCTAGTTTTTTGTATTTTTAGTAGAGACGGGGTTTCACCATGTTAGCCAGGATGGTCTCGATCTCCTGACCTCGTGATCCACCCGCCTCGGCCTCCCAAAGTGCTGGGATTACAGGCTTGAGCGACTGCGCCCGGCCAATTTTTGTATTTTTAGTAGAGTCAGAGTTTTTAGTAGAGACAGGGTTTCTCCATGTTGCCCAGGCTGATCTTGAACTCGTGAGCTCAAGTGATCTTCCCCCGCGCCCGGTCTTCCAAACTACTGGGATTACAGGCGTGAGCCACCGCGCCGGGCCTGACCGATTGACATTTAATGCCTCCCAAGAGGCTGTTTCACTTCCTTCCCACTGAGAGGCAGGAAAGGAGCTCCCCTTTGCTTCCTGCTGGTGTGTGTGCGGTGTATCTTGTCTTTGCAGGACTCTGAAAGCTGGTGGGTGTCACCAGGATTGTGAATGGGTCTGTGTGTGTGCGCTTTGCGGGAGGAATGTTCGTAAGCCAGCTCTGCTTCTGGCAGCATGAGCCCCAGCCGTGGTTTGGGCCAACGCGGGTTCCACGGCAACTTGCTTTGCCTCCTTTGCGGGTGGAGTCCTTCTCAGCGCCCCCGCTCACTGCAGGACTGCCCCGCAGGTCTCCTTCCGCTACCACTGCCAGCTGTACTCCGAGTGGAGAAAGACCAACCAGAAAGTTCGCCTGAAGATCCGGGAAGCGGACAGCTCCGAGGGCCCCCAGCATTCTCCGCTGGCGGCTGGACTCCTGAAGAAGGTGGCAGAGGAGACGCCAGTATGAATGCTGGGCTGTCCGGGCCCTGCAGCAGAGAGGCCAGAGGTAGCTGGCAATACCCTGTCCTGTGGAAGGATGGAAACTGCCTAACACTTCCCGCACGGCCTGAACGCTTCTTAGGCCAAGAGACACCATGCGGAGCCTCGTCTGTGATCCTGTGTGAAGATATTATCAGGGTTTTGTTTTTGTTTTTTTTTTTGCACACTGTTGTTCATATCGAGGACAGGTGGACACGGTCCTGAGCTCTGGACGGAGCAGGCACGCTGATCTCATTCTGAGGTCCACATGGCACCTTCTGGGCCAGCAGCTGTGGCCGGTGTATCAAGGGCGCCCTTAAAGCTGGAACATTCCAGCAAGCTTCTTGCGCTTCTCTGCACCTGGCAGGCCCACTTTCCTGGCACCCTCGACTTTATATAAAAGTTGCACTGTGTTTCAAAAACCCACCCCTGAATGAATAAAAGGAGCCCTGGCTGGACAAAATGGACTTGTCAGTTACCTTTCTCAAAGGAGACCTCCCAGGGAGGGACCATGTGGAGGTAAAAAAGTAACGTTGGTGGCCGGCTGGGCGCGGTGGCTAACACCTGTTATCCCAGCACTTTGGGAGGCTGAGGCGGGTGGATCACGAAGTCAAAAGATCGAGACCATCCTGGCCAACATGGTGAAACCCTGTCTCTACTAAAAATATAAAAACTACCTGGGCGTGGTGGTGCGTGCCTGAAATCCCAGCTACTCAGGAAGCTAAGGCAGGAGAATTGCTTGCATCTAGGAGGTGGAGGTTACAGTGAGCCGAGATGGCGCCACTGCACTCCAGCCTGGTGACGGAGAGAGACTCTATCTCAAAAACAAAAGCAAAACAAAACCAAAAAAAACAAAACCAAAAAAACCAAAAACACTGGTTGGCCAGGCGCAGTGGCTCACACCTGTAATCTCAGCACTTTGGGAGGCTGAGGCGGGCAGATCACAAGGTCAGGAGTTCGAGACCAGCCTGGCCAGTATGGTGAAATCTCATCTCTACTAAAAATACAAAAATTAGCCAGGCGTGATGGCAGATGCCTGTAGTCCCAGCTACTCGGGAGGCTGAGGCAGGAGAATTGCTTGAACCTGGGAAGCAGAGGTTACAGTGAACCAAGATCGTCATTGCACTCTAGCCTGGGTGAGAGAGCGAGACTCTGTCTCAAAAAAAACAAAAACAAAAAAAACCACTGGCTTGTTTTGAGGGATCTGTCCTGAAGCCCATGGGAAGAAGCAAAGTCTCGGTCTTCAAGTGAAAATCAGGTAGCAGGGTTATAAAAGAAATGATTTTTAAAATATACAGAAGGGCTGGGCATGGTGGCTCACACCTGTAATCACACTTTGAGAGGCCGAGATGGGTGGATCACCTGAGGTTAGGAGTTCGAGACCAGCCTGGCCAACATGGCAAAACCCTGTCTCTACTAAAAATACAAAAAAAAAATTATCGGGGTGTGGTGGCAGGTGCCTGAAATCCCAGCTACTCTGGAGGCTGAGACTGGAGAATCGCTTGAACCTGGAGGCAGAGGTGGCAGTGAGCTGAGATCAGTTGCACCACTGTATTTCAGACTGGGTGACGTTGTGAAACTCTGTCTCAAAAAATAAAAAATAGAAAAATAAAGTAGACATAAGAACAATTTCCTCTTACTTTGCCTCTACCAGTCCAGAGACCATGCTGGCCTCTTTTTTTCTTTTTTTGAGATGGGGTCTTGCTCTGTCACCCAGATTGGAGTGCAGTGGCACAATCATGGCTCACTCCAGCCTCAATCTCCTGGGGTTGGGCAATCTTCCTGTCTCAGCCTCCCCAGCAGCTGGGACGACAGGCATGCACCACTGTGCCTAGGCACTATTAGTTTTTAGTAAGTGTAGAGAGCCCAGCATGGGCCAGGCCTGGTGGCCGATGCCTGTAACCCCAGCATTTTGGGAGGCTTCAGCAGGAGGATCAGTTGAGTCTAGGAGTTTGAGACCAGCCTGGGCAACATAGTGAGATCCTGTCTTGACTAAATAAATAAATATATTAACTGGGCATGGTGGCATGGACCTGTGGTCACAGTTACTCAGGAGGCTGAGGTGGGAGGGTCCCTTGAATCCAGGAGTTCCAGGCTGCAGTGAGCTATGATTATGCCTCTGCTCTCCAGCCTGGGCAACAGAGCAAGACCCTGTCTCTAAGGCAAACAAACAATTTGTATTTAAATGGTGACAATATCCACACTGACTTAGGGTCACTATAGATGAGGCATAGTTCTGAGTCTTTCCCTCCTCTGACTGTCACTTGTTAGGGAAGAAGTAGTTATTACCTCCATTTTATTTATTTTTTATTTTTTTATTTTTTTTGAGACGGAGTCTTGCTCTGTCGCCTAGGCTGGAGTGCAGTGGCCGGATCTCAGCTCACTGCAAGCTCCGCCTCCTGGGTTCACGCCATTCTCCTGCCTCAGCCTCCTGAGTAGCTGCCTCAAGCTAATGCACACTTTGGGATGGCCGAGACGGGTGGATCACAATGGGTCAGGAGATCTGGAAAAAGCCATCCTGCTGCCCTAAGCACGGTGAAGACTCCCTGTCTCCCAGCTAAAAAAATAAGAAAACAACTAGCCAGTGCGAGGGTGGTGGGCCACCTGTAGTGTCCAGCTTAACTCGGGAGCACCTGAGGCAGGAGAATGGTGGGCAACCCGGGAGGCGGAGCTTGCAGTGAGGCCAGATTACGCGGCCCACCTGGGCCACTCCAGGGCCTGGGTGATCAGAGCGGAGACTCTGTCTCAAGAAACAAAACAAAACAAAACTAAACAAAAAAACCATCTTTCTGGCATTTGTCCCTGAGTCTTCTCCATAAAGGAGTCCTGGGTCACCCGCCAGCTCTGCTTCCTACAGCCTGGGAAGCCTTAGCCATTAAGGGCTTCGCCTGCCCTGTGCCTCAGTCTTTCTCACCTATAAAATAGGAGGTCAATAGCCCAGGCGGGCGGTGGCTCCCAAGCCCTGTAATCCCCCAGCAC